AAAATAGACCCCATGTTTTCAAAAATAATTTGTTTTAACCTTTAACCAGGCAGAACTGATTAAAGTGTTTACAAACTTCTGTTTATTTTTGTTTTTACTATCACTTCTTAAATTTGGTTGATGTAAACTTCACAATAATTTTTTTTATAACCAAATTGTTGTTGAAAGAAACAAATATCCGAGCCTTGCTGCTGACGTAGAGGAAAAAAAAGATTTTGCTGCTAAAAACCATGACATCAGAATGAAACGTGCCTTTTCGTCTTCCTCTCAGCCCTCACTGGTACTCCTGTCAGMCGCTGGACGCAGCCACTCTACASAACAWGCTCACGYGCATCCTGGCGGTCAGAGAGCTTCAGCAGCAAGCGGGGAGGCACCGGGGCGGTGGCGACGAGTGAACGCCGCCTTCATCGGCCGCAGCAAACGGACTCTTTTTAGCCGAGCCACAAACACACCAGACTGGTCTCAGAGCGCACAAGTTTCAAAACACGGGACAAAACCACGAAACCAAACTGGAAAATCCACCCGACACTCAAGGTTTTTCTCTAAATCTACTCCAAAACCCCAGAAACAAGATCTTTTTCTTTATCTGTGCTGAAAACATAAAAAGTAACAACCACATGTCAAACCAGCTTTTTTGTTTCTGGATGTTTTGACTCAAACTGAACAGCGAATTCAAAAAGAAAAAATCAGTAGGTCCTCTGGATGGTTCTTCTTTAGTGAAATGTTTCGTCTCTCCTCCAAGAGACTTCTTCAGTCTGATGAGTTTCAGGTGAAACTCAGACTGAAGAAGTCTCTTGGAGGAGAGACGAAACGCTTCACTAAAGAAGAACCATCCAGAGGACCTACTGATTTTTTCTTTTGAATTTTTTCTACCTGGATTACTGAGATGCATCAGGACATTTTGAACAGCGTATTCACATTTGAACCTTGTTTTGGGGGAGGCCGCGTTACAAGAATCAACTGCAGTTTTAAAACTGTTTTTAATACGAAGCTTTTTTTATTTCTCATGATGCATTTTCTATTTGGAAATCTTTGATTCAGCTGATAAAATGTTACAAAAAGCCCTCATAGAAAGAGATATGAGTTTTTATCATTTTAAGGGAAATTTAACATACTGGAGAAAATGCTGTGTGTGTTTTGTTTTGACATTTTTTTTAAATCCTCACTTGTCTGTATTTCTTTCCTGTTCGTCGTCGGTACCTTCATCTTTTTCATTTATTTTTATTTTAGTTTGAGGCACATGGAAGAACCTGATCAAGCAGCAGACAAAAAACAAAGCTTTTTAACTCAAATAATCTGTATTCCAACAGAAAAAGTCCTTAACTGGTTTTAGTCATTCCTTATGATGGAGATTTCTCCACATTTTAGCTTTTCTGTATGAATTCAACTCTTATCTTACAGTGGTTTGCAAAAGTATTCATACCCCTTGAACTTTTCCATATTTTGTCACATTACAACCACAAACATAAATATATTTCACTGGAATTTAATG